GAGTCGACGATATTTCAGGTACATGTATATTTCGGCAGAAATTTCGGTAGTATTTTGAGTTTCTCTGGCGGCTCCCACTGAGCCTACTCTTTTTCGGACACCAGAAAAACTATCTTTAAAGTGCCAAAGGAGTTGTAATCCTTGACACGGGGCACCATTTAACGTCCCATCCGACAGACATAAATTTGTAAACACGCGAAATGCAAATAAATTCCTGTTCTAAAAAAAACATCTAAATCTTACTACAAATATCAGTTTCTTGTAAATATTGTAAAATTGTATAAGGATTAATGTTGAAAAAAGTTCATGCATCATTGCACATTACATGTATAAAAGAGTCAATTACGAAAAGGCAAAAATCAGTACAATCTAAAAGTATATGGTGTATCGTTTTTGCACAGTCACAAGAGATACATCCAGGTTGTTGTTCCCCGTGTACACAGACTTGAAGCTCGTATTTTCTAAAATTTTCTGAATAATTTCATGACTTACATGTTGCTATAGAGCATAACACACCGAAATATATTAAAAGCTTGTTAAGAAAATTCTTTTATCTGGAAATTATTAAAACAATGATTTTCGGGACGCGTTTGATTAATTTACTCATATCCCTGCACTTTCACAAAGTAAACTATCCATAATACTGAAAAAAAGTAGAAAGAACTAGGTTCACTTTATGCATAAAATGCATATGGTCCTGTAGATATACAAATTTATTGACTATAATACCTTATGTTCCATCTTAAATATCAAGATAAAGTAGATACTTAGTGCTATCATTTCCTATTAAAAATTTTTCTCCTTAAAGTCCGGGTCATGGAAAACAAGCTTTATGGAATTGCAATGTTCTTGAATTTTAAGGAAAACGGGTATATTTAAGTACTTTCAGAGAAGAAAAATAATATGAGCGCACCCTCTGATCTAAAAAATAAAACATGTTTTGGAATCCTCAGAAACGGTTCTATCGGTAAATAATTGCATATTTTAGATCAGAGATTGCGCTCTATATTAAATATCGAAAATAGCTTTGAAAATTGGCTGTTTTTGTAGAATTGTTCAGGATATGAGGAAAATGACACATTTCAGGACGTCATTGACTAGCCAGAAAATTACGTCATTTTTGGTAGTTTCGCAATCGCCAAATGTCTAAATGAAATTTAATGCATTGTCAACTAAAACTAAGCAGTTTCTGTTTTTCGGAAATACACAGGGCCAAAAAAAGGCCCTAAGTGAACCTTGTTCTTCTGCTGTTTATTAATGAAATATACGAAAACTATAATCCAGAGAGTTCAGAGTAGAAACGAGAGAAAGCAAAACCAACTCACCATAAGATTTTTGTCAGTCCGTGCTGAATGATGCAGACTATAAACAAACTGAACACACCCCGTAAAACGTAAACACTAACAATAACAGAGCTCGTGCCCTTCTTACAAACACAGGTGATTGACGTGGTGTTTTGAGGAATTTCATGATCATTGAATTCTTAGTATATTCATGAAAGTTCAATTCATTAAACTGAGTTATTTTTTTAATAAAAATAGAAATTTAAAATTCATTATAGCCCCTTTAAGATGTCAAAGAAATGGGCTAGTAACTGTAATGTTTACAAGTGTTTTTAAAAAATCTGATGACAGGTATATTTCTTTTGTCAATAGGTTCTCTGATTTTAACTTCTTACACAGATCACACTGTTCTACTACAAGTTAGCTCTACGCTACTGTTGCGCTCCAGTACGTCCATGCATGACCAAAATTTTGCTGTGGCGGAGGCTCATGCGGAAGTAATGTCATACTATGCAAATAATTCACTCCCATCCTAACCCCCCCCCCCCTGTTTTCTTTGACAACTGAAGTCTGCTGATCCCTGCAGATACATAAGTATGAGATACACAGCACAAAACAAAAGATCTACCTTAAGAATACCTAGCCAGATCTGCATAGGTTCACATGTACTCTAGTTCTGGCTCCCATGCCTCACACAATCCCCCCCCCCCAGTCGTCAACCTCCTAACAGCTTCAGTTGCTTTTCAAAGGGCCATAACCTGAGGGTTAGTGATCGAGCTGATGGAAAGCACATAAGTCCGCTTATGTGCCGTATTAGTGAGCGTTTTGGTGTCCAGGGTTTCTAGCTTCTCATGTAAACAGTCTTGGTTCAGCATAGAAAGTGACACTGACCTTTATCTTCCTGTCATGAAGGTCTTCCAATCTGCTTTACAGGATCTCTGTAAACCAGCATCCGGTTGCCTGTGACTTGTGCGATTCCCGTGTGTCACAGATAAGGATACTTTGCTGCAGTTGTGGAACAATTCTAGAAGGTCCTAGGTGCCCCAACCTCGAATCACCTTTGGCAACACCGGGCGTCCTGCTACAGTCTGTCTGTCCACATTTCAGTGATAAATCAAATATGATTAATCTTCTCATTATTTGCACAGATTGGCATGTAATCTCCTACAAAATCGGATAAAACACGCATTTTATCAACTCTTTAGAGAATGTTCCTATACAAATGGTTCACGTAAAAATATAAAGATCGATTACTTTTACAGACAATTTTGTATATTTGGTTCGGTTTCTTACATGTAATCTGGCATACAACTTTTCCATTGTCTGTCGTAGAAAGAAATCATTCTCGCGATTCGTGAAACATTTTTGAGAAATCGATCAATTTATCAATAATTACAGAAGCTGAAAAACAAAATGCAGCTGCATCAAACTTGGCATGATGTTTTCCCCTTCCAGAATCGTGGATAGAAGCATACAAAGAAGTAGGAAGATATATTGTTGAATTTTTACAGACATTTAAATTTTTTTTAAAAAAATGATAAAAATGGTAGGTTTTTAAGACCTGGTTCTCAGTATTTTGGAATTTATATAATTAGTCATGTATATATAACTAGATGCGAACAAGAAACAAAAAAATATTGAATAAAAGTAAGGTTAACATTAAGAGTACCGTCTTTCTGACATACTAGTATTTTGTATTTATCAATAAAGAACTTTATAATGGTCACAATGTCGATTTTAATAAATAAAAAGAAAAAAAATGTCAGAAAGACAGTACTTAGTTTTAATAAATCGGAAACGTTTTAATTAAGATCAATGCTTGTATTTAAGAATTTTTTTTTCTATCAAAATATAAAGTTATATGAAGAGCGTGTCACTCTAAGGTATAAAAGTCATATATGATTATCTGCGGTGACGCGTCTGCAATTCAGTAAATGTCGAATATGTCCAAGTTTGAACCAGCAGGAATTCGACATTGCAAGGGCAAATTTTGGGAGATTTTCTTTGATACTAATTATTTAACAGGCAATGGGACATAAGCTTCATAATGGTTTACTCTCTCTCTCTCTCTCTCTCTCTCTCTCTCTCTCTCTCTCGTACGAGGGACAATTTTCTCAAAAGATCCCTCCACTTAAAGTTGTTTGGCATGTACGTCTTACAAACATGGTCAAAATTTTACTTTTTCCATGCCTTTTAATGCTGTATTCATGGGTATTTTACTATAGGTAAGCCAAATGGTCTAGATCCTCTCCTCATGATATTACGAGAAATCACTGTTGAGATTTGACAATGTAAGCAGCATATATCCTGTATGTTAACTACCAAAATACAAAATTTGCATTAAGGAGGGATTCTTCTCATATTTCTAGTATTTAAAAAATAAATGAAATTTTCATAGATTCAAGAAGACATTATCATTAAGTGATGGTATCAATTAGATTAAATCTGACCGTTTTAGTTTAAAAGCAAGGTCAGGTCAAGGTCATTATCTTTTTTCTTGACCATAAGAATAAATAATTCTTTCTTTTCCGTAAGCGATGCCAAGGCTTCCTAAAAATGACTTAAGTACGCATTTCCATTGCTTTAGCTGGAAAATCTCAAAATAAAGGTGATGGAGAGTTGCAGATGCAAATATGCAACAGCTCTCGCCTCAGCTGACTCTTACGTATCATTAGCATGAATGACAGTCCTTGGACCGGAAGTCCAAGGGTTACTACATTGCGCTTGGCTAGAGAAAATTCGACCTCATCATCTGAAAAACAGGCATTTAAAAATGGCAAAGAATATTTCTTTCGCTCAGATCTCGAGGTTGATGAACCTACTGCATCGTAGAAACCAAGCTCCAACTATTGTACAAGGCAGTCTTGCACTCTGTAATTGAATGGCATGAATGGGGGGTGTTTTAACTTTCTTGTGTTACTTTCTAAAGTTAAAAGATCATAATTTAACATTTTTATCAAATCTTTTTATGTTTATAAATCGAGTTCTACCTTACTGTTTTCTATATTGAAAATCATTAGATAAAAAATTCAAATATTTGTATATTACTGCTTGTTGCGTTCTTTTGCGTTTCAGTATATTAGTAATTTTTATATGCTTCGTACATTGTATATATATTTAAATTTTTCTTATTTTCACATACGGTAAAGTAGTCATATAAAGATACAAATAGATACAAAAACAAAAAGTTTTGACCGTTTACTAAGAGAGAAAAAACACTTTTTACCGATTTTTTGCTCAAATCTGTACTTAGATTGGAAGCTTTTAAAAGTTAACAAAATTGTCGTTTGTTTGGGAAATCTATTTTAAAATTTCAGTCCATTATCATTTATTTTAATTAAGTCTTTAAGTCTTTGATTGTTTAAAAATTTTAACTAAATTCATTGTTCAACAGTAATTTTGAGAAGCAGAAAATGAGACATTTTCATACGCCGCCGTTCCGCCAAAAATATAGTCCCTGCAAGATTTCAAACTCAGTTTACCATTTTTATTTAAAGTAGTACAATTAAGATGAGCAAAGAAAAATATGATCTTTTAAATCCCTTACATTTAAATATACGAGACATATAAGCAAATATACTTTGAATATTTCATCTAGTCAGAAACCAGACAAGAATCCCTCCTTAATGTCAGCAAAAGTTTTTTTTATCTTTCCGTTTAACACATATACCTGTACATCTTATACAAACAAATGTATCATTTTCCCGATAACATCAACTAATTAAAAATATTGAAGTATTTCAGTTCTTTTGAAAAAGATGCAAAAATTCTAGTTTTTATAAAAGAGGGGTTTGTTGTATAGTCAAAGAATTCAAAATCAAAACGATAAAGTTTTATAAATTCTTTCAGCATGTCTGTAGATATTAAACTATATGCTTCTTCTTTTGCCTCAAGCCTCTGTTCTTTCAATTTTGTTCGATTTTGTATGGATTGCATAATACCTTTAATTTTATCAAGCACTTCAGAATAAGAGATGTGTTTTGTTTTTTCCACACTAAAAGGCATTTGGACTTCTAATGGAAGGACTCCGCTTATTTGAAGAAGTCGCCAAACTCTTTTAAGTGACTTGTGAAATGGCTCACACAATTGTGTTTCACTTTTAAAATTAAAAGCTCGCTTGATTTGACTTTCAACAATACTCAAATCGGGTGCCAGTTCAAAATCTGCACGTGGTTTTTTAACAGAAAATGTTGAATTAAAGGAATCCAGCAAAAGTGTCACATCCTCTCGAAATGTTTCCATTTTACCGATAAAATCATATTTAATACCACAAGGATAACAATGTTCATACATTGGGTAAAAATGCCTGTCACGATGTTTCAAAGTCTTTTGCGAGATGACCACGTATTTCATGAATTCTGGAAATGTGACGTCATGACCACATCTCAGTGATTTATGACTAGACTTCAATCCTCTCACTGTTTTGACAATATGGCGTCCTAGTCCCTTCCAGTACCCCGGATTAGGAGCAAATAGTTTGTCTACATATCCCGACAGGGCTCTGCTAAATGGCTCCCGAACAAACATAAATTTTGATGACTTTGCTAGACAAGTAATGAAGTCCTCCGATCTATTTACAAGCATTTTATGACCTTGCAATTCTAGTTGGAACATTCCTTCGAAAAACTGTTTCATTATCTCTCGTAGAAACGTAGAACCCGACTTCTGAATACGACAGTATAAGAACCCCATTGGGGTATACAATGCTATGTTTTTATTCAATTTATCGAGGAATGATTGTGAAGAGTAATTGCTGTAAGAATGTAAGCAACTGCGTCTTATACTGTCTTGGCGTTTTTCCTGAACAAAATTCTTTGTAATTTTAAATATCTGAAAAAGTAAAGCAATGAAATAGGTGAAGATAACAAACGTGATCTACAAATATTACAAATCTGTGAAAGGGCATAAAACATGGATCCCGAGAAATTCCAGAGGTGGGATCACGTGTTTATGACAATACTAGAATTTTCATCAATCATTATAATAACTAAATAAAAAACTAAACAATTAACAAATCAATGCTACAATGTAGCTGAAAGTTACTAAGAAAAACATTAAAAAAAATTAGTGAGTTTTATTTCCATTATCTACTTAGACATAATAATATTGTAGAAAAAACATGAATCAATACTTTTGTGTCATTTTGTTTTTCACTTTTTCTTTAAATTTATTCCTCAATATAAAATAGATTGGACCAGTTGGGGTTGTTCAAATGGCTAAATATTTGTCACATGAACCTGAAGGATGTACTGAGAAAACCTTTAATCTGGACTTAATATAGGGTATTGTAATATAACTTCAGTCAAAAGCAGTTCAAATGAGATACCATTATTCAAAAGTATTGCAGTGGAGAAATTATTTGAGTTTTTAAGACAAGTCTTCCTTCGAATACATACATTTTTTGGAAACCTTGAACATACATCGCCAGTGTGAGCTTTATTACCATCACCACTATTATCTGTATCCTTTGGTTGCTGAATGATTGGTGGTGCAGAAAATACATAGTTTGTATATCGGCCAATCATCTGTTCTGTTAAAGAAAATTATACTGTATATCGACCAATCAACTGCTCCGTTAAAGATTTTTTTCGTATCTGAGAGCTTTACATTTCATGTAAGATGTTGTAAATATATATGCTCAAAATTTATGAATAAATTTGAAATCCATCCCAGTGTCTAAATTTGCAACGAGAGGGTCTTTTATGAATCTTAAAATCTCCTGATTTAATGTAGCAAGCTTTTTTTCAGTTTCATCTTGTGTTTTCTCTCAAAGCACTGGTGAGAGTTTATCGGAATACCATCGATTGATTAATTCAACTTTTCTAGAGTAAATTTTCTGGAAGGATTCAGATTTAAAGTTATAAAACGAAAAAATGTCTGAAACGGGTTCTATTCAGGAGACATATCATTGTCCATAGTAGATTCTGACTTAACTCTATTCTGATATCTGTAATTTACAGGCTCCAATCCCCCCCCCCCTCCCGGTTCCTTAATCTTATGTACTAAGCTGATTCGGTTGAGATTACAAATAATGGAATTATTTCCTTTTTATCCATCACTTATTTTTTTGTAAGAAGTTTCATCTAGTTATAAATGATTTCTAGTGACATTGTAATAGATGATGCGATCTAGTGTACGGAAGAATTGATTAAATGTGAAAAAATATGGTTAGGGATGCAAAAGAATGTGTTTTCCCGAGTTTTAGTTAAGGAGGAATTCAAATCGTCTGATTTAAATAAGTATTTCATACATTTGTCATTTTGTCTGTAACATTTTTATACGATACTCTTCTTGCTTTCATATCAATATTTAATTTTGTTGAATTATGTTGGCATGGTTACTCTTAAGGAATTATTTAACATACTTTCCCTCTTAAGCGTCTTTTCTGATTTGAATAAAACATGATACAATTGATTACTTTATCAAAAAATACATAGTTCTGATGTTAGACTTTTAAGTAGATGAAAAGCGTCGTCATGATAACTAAATATGGAATAAAGTAAGAAATCATTTGAGATGCAAACACTTTAATTCAATTTGTCTGATGTCTAGTTTGCATCAAAATACATAATTTTAGATATCGACTTTTTAACATGGCGTTATGATTAATACACTGGCACCTCAAGAGCTATAGTTTCATCACAGACTTTGATTTTTTATTGCATTCTGACTGATTTGCAAGACAATATACCATTCCAGGGTATGCATACTATGAGTGACATGTTGTTTGAAGAAAAAACAATCCCCCCCCCCCAAAAAAAAATCACCTTTTAACATTGGATGAAGTTATAAAATTCAAAATACTGTAAAATCACATATTTTCGTGAGGTCAAATTTCGTGCTTTGAGGAAAAACTAGGTTTATGGGGATTTTGTGTATGAATAATTGTTGAGTATTTATATGACATTTTATATTTCGTGGTGGTCATGAATCCGTTGGGCTCTTCATATCTCGGAAACAACGAAAATTAAACCCCACGAAAATGAGTGATTTAACAGTACAACGAATTTACATCTTGGCACAACACTGATTCAAAATGTTTTCGAAATTAAACATTTCTTTGTAAATGATCTGCATGCAAGATGATGATGATTATGATGTTGATAATTTGACATCAACTTCTCATACCTAATATCTTACTCAAACTTACTTTCCTAATATTTATTCTTATTCTGTGAAAGTCATGCAAGAAAAATTTGATATACAGGCAGACAATTAAGACAAAATGGAAAAAAAATATAATCCCATTCAAACTCCTTTGATGGATACTATTCTAAATATCATAGAGTGTTACCATACTTACGTGAGATATAAATACTTCCTGTCGTAAAAAAGAGGAGAAGAATCGAAAGTGTAAGCCGGGGACATCGTTTGGTGATAGCGGACTGATTGTCCATGATAATAGAAAGGTATCAAGATAAGCCCCGATTATTCATGGATAATGGATATGACTGTCTAATGTATAATATTGCTGGATCCAGTCTTACCCATTGCAGAATGTCAGAATGAGTGACACGGAACCACGTATATCATGTGTACATGTATATCTATTCTCCAGCGAAATTTACCACAGGCCAATTACTAACTGAACGCATGAACATGATGATAGCCTAGAGCAACTTCTGGAAAATTGTGTCATAGGGCTGGTTTTCGGTAATCATCTCAGTATAACTAACTTACTATAAAGCTGACATTTCTTTAAATATAAAGCTAAACAGGCAATTTTTTTTTAAAAAGTTCAGAAATGAAAAATGTACTGACAATGCTGAATAAAATTGAAACTTGTAGAATTTCCGACTCTCTAGGTAAAATATTCTATTATTAACATTTCTTAAATCAATGAATAAGTTTCAGAATAAGTTTTATCGAAGAAACACGATTGAATGAATTCTGTTTCCTTATAGTTGAAGAATATGCGTCATTTAATACTAAAACCTTGAAATAAGCCGCGGCTTATTTTAAGTTTTGGTAAGAAAGTGGGGGCTTATTTTTAAAACCGTCTTATTTTCAAATCGCGGCTTATTATCAATACAAAAAAAACCGGTTAAGCGACAAGAGCATAATCAGCTTATTATCAATGCAAAAAAAATTGTAATGGATCAATTGTGAACTACTTGTTTGTGAGAAAAATAGAGTATCCAGGAAAACAACTGAAGGAGTTAAATGAATAGTGTTCAAGTGTCTTTAATTCTAAAACAGTGAGTTTTTAGCAATGGTGACTGCTAAACATACTCCTTCTCCAAGAAAAAGTTATAACAGAGAATTTAAACTTAGGATTATAGAGCATTACAAAGCGTTGTCACTGGGCAATGCGAAAAACCGTATCATCATAACTGCAAAGTATTTTGGAATTGACGAAAGCAATGTGGATTAAGACAGAAATAAAACTGCAAGAAACGCCAAAAGGTTCAAAGTCACATGGTTCGGGAAGAAAATCACTTTATCCTGAAATGGAAAGGCAGTTGCATCGTGAATTTATAGAAATTCGGGAGAAGGGATTAGAGGCAAAATCATGGTGGTTCAAATCACGTGCGGCCGAACTTGCAGATTCTGAATTCAAATGCAGTCGTGGCTGGTTTAACAATTTCAAAAAACGACACAATTTATCGTACCGGGCACCAACCAGTGGAGCTCAAAATCCACCAGATGCTAAAATTGAGGCATTTAACAGTTTTCACAAATTTATTCGAAAAAATACGAGCAGAGACTGTACGGACCCCAATGGCCGTTTTAAATTAGTTGCAAAAATGGAGCAATCTCCACTCCCGTTTGATCTAAATAAGGGGAAAACGTGCGAAACAACTGGTGTTACTAAAGTACGGCGCAGAACGAAGAAAAAGCGTGATTAGACGCCTGCAAGGACCAAACTGATGCTGTGGTGAAGTGTTTTATAAGCTGTGGCATCTCCAACAAGATAGATGACAGTGAGGATCATCTCATTCACTTTCAGGACATAGCCAGCTATACGTTTGAGACAGAGAAGGAGGGGGCGGAAGACGATGAAGTTCGCTGTTTTATTTTGGACAATGACAGAGATTCTGATGAAGACATTCCTCTGGCTGAGCTCAGATTAAGAGTATGATAGCTCCAGGGCACCCCTGTATTTTAGTGCTTCGCGTAGCGTTCTAACTATATTTTATCATGCCTAAGGATTTTTTAAAAAAATAATTTAAACCCAAAGTATTGGTCTTTGATTGAATTTTTATGGTTTTATCAAAGTTTCAGACATTTCATTTTAGATCTTATCCTAAATATCATGGAATGCTTATAATAAAATAATTAAAATAATACTTTGTTCAATATCTTGCGTGTAGAAAAAAGAAACACTTTTTAGTTTAAAATCTTTCCCAAATGGTATTGTCATGACCAGCTTATTTTCAAAATAGGCTTCTTTTCGAGTAATTTTCAATGCAAGAAATAGGTGGCTTATTTTCAAATCCGGCTTGTTTTCAAAGTTTTAGGATATTAAACTTTAAAAGAAATCCCCATTTACCTTTTTATGGCTTTGTATGATTACTATACCGACCCCAATAACGGGCAGTTTTGTAATATTTGTGGAACTCTGCACAGCACGGACACACATTTGGCAGGTTTCAGATAACGCGCATGAAATTTGATACTTTCATATTCTTAAAGTTTAGGAGCGGGAAAGTTTAATATCCTTCTGATGTCCTGGCACTTCTAGACCCACTCGGCCGTAACTTAATAAAAGGGACATAAAATCCGGGGTTCATATATAGCCAATGGTGATTTATTGAAAGAACCACCGTAACGTAATAAAGATGTTATTTAAAAAATCATTAAACATTATATCATGTTAAAATTTGAAGAAAAAAAGACAAAAAACCTAAGCTAGATGATTCCCTGTCCTTGGTTGACGTAACACTTTTTTTTCAACAGTTTAATACTGCAGAAGTATTTATTTTTGTATGTTTTATATTTTTGATATTTGGGGATGCCCCGTAAAGAATGGAGCAGTTAGTGGAGGATTTCTCTTTCTGTTATTGTTCATAACATTGCAGCAAGAAGATCATAGCAAGATTAATTAATCATGGTAGGGTTTTCACAAAAAAGACACGAGAAGAATGCTAGAAAATGTCAGTGATAAAACACTCTAATAATCAAATTTCAAAGGACCACTAGCTACGTGTGATAAAATATTAGGTGGCATCCACCTGAATGGATCCACGGGTCGGCATTTTATACCACAAATCCAAAGTTTTTAAATTGCTTCTTATTATCGAATCCATTGGCCTTTCGTGATTATAGTACACGTAGGCACAGTTATGATGACCCTGCACCGTATGTTTACAAATTACCCCTTGAGCACAACATGTAATCATCGATAGTTTAGTTCCTTCTGACTACGTAGTACTTGGATTTTTTTGATAACACAAATACTCTTTCGTCGAATTTATTGATTTATGCAGCTATTTCTACGTATTTATGTACATTATAGAGAACAAACAACAAAATAAACATGTTAAAGATTGATTATCATAGTACATATTATACGCAGGCCATG